TGGCGGCGATAGCGCTGACTGAAGACAAGTTTTGTGACGCTAGAATGTCTGGAACTTGTATGCTTACTCCTGGCTGCCCCAGCACTGACTGACGATAGGTCTGTGACGTTTGAATGCCTGGAACTTGAACGTTTAGATCTGGCGGTTTCTGCTTTGGATGACGACAGATCCGATTTGTTATAAGTTCTCGGCGTGCTGCATTGTGACCTGGTTTCCAGCGTACTGTGCATATTTTCTTCCTGTTTGCATGAGATTTTAGGAAGGGTTAATTTAGTGATATCTTTCATGAAGCTGAGTTAGTTTCACTTTGCTATGCCTTAGACTGGCTGTGCTGTGGGATTTCACACACACGTGCTGCTGTATTAACAGTTAAGAGTCTTTTCTGTGTTGTGGGGCTTGCTGTAGCGTTTTCACACAATGTGCTCTGAAGTAACCGTGTAAGTCTTTTTACTGTCCTGCCTTCTCTGCAGTTATGAAAGGGTTACAGAGGGTAACATGCAGTATAACCTTTGATGTCCACACAGTAAAGAGTCGATGATTGATAACCGATGATCTTTTACTGATAACATGTGACATAGTACATGAAGTGTGAATGAATCAATGTGAGAATGAATGAATGGTAAAACTGAAATACAAACAGAATAAACAGACACGAGTACATATCTAACTTCCTAGCTATGTGCATAACATTCCACAGTACATAGGAAGGGTACTTACAGACTTTGGGGGTCTAATCAAGCCCATATATGAAGAGAGAACAGCATCCCGCATCTACTTGCATAGTAGAATTTCTTCAGTCTGAAGAGATGAGGTCACTTCCTCCCAAGTTAGCAAACAGGAAGTCCCTGACCTTAAAGGGGACAGACACTGCTGAATGCTAAAGAATGCCTTGTGTAATACAAGGCAGCACAATGGGAGTGGAATGTATATGAGTGCACATGCCTTCCAGTCCTGGTGTTTGTGTCAGCAGGAGAGTAAAGTATCAGCAGGAGGTGATGAGAGCAGTAGTAGGGAGATGGTAGACGTGAGGGTGAGATGTACAAGTTTTGGGGTAGAGCAGAGGGGTAAAGAAGGGAGATTTTGGGAATGCAAGACAGTAATATGAAAAGGTTGAGCAGAGGGGACATATTGCAAAGGTACATGGAGTGGGACTCAGACTTGTAGGAGATGTTATTTCCCAGGGTGTTTGCTTGCAGTCTGTCCAGCATGCAGTATGGTTTCTTGCTGTTGTTGTATCTTCCTGCTGCTTGAGTTATCCTGCTTTAGTTCAACTGCTGTGTTCAACTGCTCCTTAGCACTCTATCACAAACAGCACTCATGAAGAAACAGCACCCCATCTGTGACTGTGCCCCCGATCTGTGATCACCCCCCATGAGCTGATCTAAATTATAGGGAGATGGTCAAATGAGCACTCTTCTCTGCCCCAATTAGGAACTGATAAGGATCACATGAATAGGGGTGATGTTTCTCAATATATATATGTGATTTTGCACAGCCCTGTTGCCCTGTAGCAGTAGTTCTCCTATAGGGCAGTCGGGAAGCAGTTAAAAAAGTCCCTGACCCTTTCCAAAAAATGCAATGGGTGAAAACGCAGAGATGTGAATGTGTCCCATAGGAAATCATGTTAAATGTACTGCTGTGAGTTTCTGCAAAACGCAATGGAAAACTCATAGGTGTGAACCTAGACTTAGGCTGCTTTTACATTGATCCATTTCTTTTCCTCTTTTGCATTAAGGCCCCCCATCCATCCGGCAGATCGGATCAGATGACAGTAGGGTGGAAACGGACATGCGGCCCGTGACCATCTGACCGCCCCATAGAAAATAGTGGTCTGTGTCTGCTCTGCAAAAATGGACAGGGACCTGTCATCTGCCTGCTCAGCAGGGATCAGCAGAGAGATCTCCCACTGAGCAGGTGGATTCGCTGAGATTTCCGCCCCATCTGAAAGGGGTCTAAATAGAGTGGAAGAAAAACGTGTGACCATGTAATCCTGTGGAACTCTTAACACTGATCTGTTATGGATCCACTACATTTTTTAAAATCCTGCTTGCTGCATTTTTGGTGCAATAAAAAACTGCACCAAAAATGCACCTCCCCATTGAAGTGAATGGAAAACACAAAAAAAATGCATGAAAAACATACCTGCATTGGGTTCTTGATGCATTTTTTGAGTCACATGTTCTTTAAAAACACACCACAAACGCAGTAAAAACACAACAAAAATGCATATGCGTTTTTGCTACGGATCAGTGTGAAAGCCTCAGAGCAGGGTTCATGAGCATAAGGCCTCATGCACACTGGACGTTATAAAAACGCCAGTAATGTTAGCTATAGAATGCCACGTTAAAAAACACGAGTTGTGTCACGTTTATTCATTTTGGATTAGCGTGTTTTAGCAAAACTATATTCCCACAAAAGCTTGAGGCTCAAAAATGCTCATAAACGCCGGATAGCCAGGTTTTTTTAGTGTTTTTCTGGATTAGACAGTTAAAAATCTCCTTTAGAAACCCATTAGTTGTGGGGTTTTTTCCAGTCAGAAAATGCCCCTGCCAAAAAAAACACAGAATAAAGCCTATGTGTATGGACACATAGTTTAACATGCGGAGGAGTCTACTGACTGTAGAAAGAAAAACTCTAGAAGCCAAAAACAGCAGCTGTAAAAATGCCCAGTGTGCATGAGGACTAAAAAATACCCCAGACCTGTGTTTACATAGGAGTTTTCCAGCCTAATTTAAGCCTGCAGGTGCATAAATGATACTAATATGGGGCACGTCAATTTGTTCTAATGGCTAAAATATATTGATCACTTACCTACTGGACACTTTCACCCCCTTCATGCCAAGACCAATTTTCAGCTTTCAGCACTGTCACACTTTGAATGACAATTTGCACGGTCATGCAACACTACCCAAACCAAAATTTTTTATCATTTTATTTTGAAACATACAGTGCTCGGAATAAATGAGTACACCCCTTTTGAAAAGTAAGATTTTTAATCAATATCTCAATGAATGCAAGAACAATTATCAAAATTTTGACAAAACTGAGTTTTATAGAACATTTGATTAGCTCATTACATGAAAGTAAGGTTAATAATATAACTTAGATTACAAAATCTTCAGTTTTACCAAAATTAGTTGATGCAAAAATGAATACACCCCACAACAAAATCTACTCCATCTAGTATTTTGTATGACCTCCATGATTTCTAAGGACAGCACCAAGTCTTCTAGGCATGGAATTAACAAGTTGGCGACATATTGCAACATCTATCTTTTTCCATTCTTCAAGAACGACCTCTTTTAGAGCCTGGATGCTGAAGAGTGATGCTCAGCCTGTCTCTTCAGAATTCCTCATAGGTGTTCGATTGGGTTCAGATCAGGAAACATACTTGGCCAATGAATGACTTTCACCTTCTTCTTCAGAAATGCAACAGTGGCCTTAGATGTGTGTTTTGGACCATTGTCATGTTGGAAAAGTGCATGACAACCAAGGTCACGGAGTGATGGTAGCCTATTCTCTATCAATATAGAGCAGTATTTCTGTGAATTCATGATACCATCAATGAAATGCAGCTCCCCGACACCAGCAGCCCCATAGAAGGACACTGCCACCATCATATTTCACTGTAGGCACCATGCATTTTTCTGTGTGGATGGATCTACTCGTCACCTTTTTGACGCCATACCGTTTTGAAGCTATCAATTTCAGAAACATTTATCTTGGTCTAATTACTCCAGAGTACAGAGTCCCAGTAGTCTTCTTTTTCTGGATGGACCCTGGCATATTTTTGACAGGATTTTTTGTGCATGGGCTTTAGGAGGGGCTTCCTTCGTGGATGACACCCATACATATCATTCCTCTGCAGTGTACGCCGTGATGTGTCACGGGAAGCAATCACTAGTTTGGCTTTCTACTTTAGCTAACTGCAGTGACCTTGCATGGCAATTGTTATCTTTGTTAAATTTTGGTATCATTTTTGTTACAGTATTCTCACTGATCAGTAAAGCTTTGCTGATCTCTGAAAGGATCTATATAACCTCCATTGTGTTGGTGTACGCCATTTTAAGTATTAAGTTAGCTTTTTGCAGATATATTAGAAGTTTAATTAAACTGTTTTAGTTTGCTCAAGGATGTATAAACAAAAGATAAGATGACCCTGAAGTTTTCTTTGTCCGGCTAATTCTTAGAAAGATAGCAAAAACTGTTTATACTGTATATGTCATGTCTCATGTAGTTAGCTCATGATGGAAACATACAAGTTACAGTTTTGAAACTCGCTCCCCCCCCCCCCCTTATTTTTCTGTATCCTATATAATCTTAGTAATGTCTAATAAACTTTGAACATCTTTGAACATAAGCTGCCTGCTGTTATTCCGTGTTCATGGGGTGTTCCCAGAATTCTGCTGATAAACCAGGAATCTCTCCACAGACCAGGGGTCTCTGAGGGGATAAAGAAAATCGATCCTTTCAATCTCCTTGTAGCCTTCACCTTTCTTGTGCAAAGAAATATTTTTCTTTCTCAGGCCTTGTCACATTTCTGTTCCATGTGGTGCCATTGCTGACAGCCTGAAATGGGAAGGGATTTTAAGTAATGCCCTATTATAATCAACTGTCTGCCAAACACCTGTTTAACAATAATTCAACTACAGGTGAGTCTAATTATTCATTAATTTGGATTTTGTTGTCTAAACTTTAGCTTTGCTCTTAATGCAGGCCATAGACTGTTCGTTTATCAGCCGATTTTTCTTCCAAAAAAACAAAACATCGGTCATTCTGTTGCCACCAATGATTGCAAAAAATGGCAAAGGGGTGAAAACGTGTGAGTACACGAAACATGTCAGGGGAATCCCTCTATGTGACGCTGACCTTTCCTATGGATCATCTACAAGAATTATGTGTTTGATGTGAGTGCCTCTTTTTGAATATTTTGGATTCTACCCAATAAAGGCTATATTACACTATTAGCATCATCTTGCTGTTACGGATCCGCCAGGTGGCACCTCTGGCAGCCCACTAGGCGGAATCACCCGGAGCGTGGGGTCTAAGTCCCGGTCTGCGTTTTCACCAGGGCCCCTGATGGTGGGGATGGACTTGGAGCAGAACCGGGACCAGGTCACGACCTCCGAGCAATACCACCCGTGGCAGAGGGAGCCTCCGTGGATAGAAGTAGGACAGAGTAGAGTCAGATGTGAGGAGGCCGGCAGGACCTGGCAGGATAAACCGGCGATTGTCACCGTGGGAAATGGCGTGGTACCGAGACAGTAGGCAGAGAGTGGTCAGGTCGTACGCTGGGTCAGTTCCGGGGTCAGTCCGCAGAATGGTCAAACAAGCCGGGGGTCGGGACAGGAGAAGGCAGCGTAGTCAGGGACAATCCGGGTCAATCACAGGGGAAGGCAGCGTAGTCAGATAATCCGGGTCAGGGCAGGAGCAGGCAGAACGTCAAACAATCCGGGTCACAATCACAGGAAACACAGGTATCAGATCAGACCTTGTGGCGATTTATGACAGTGCAGGGCATCTTTAAATATCGCGCCCTGCACTGCCATTGGCCGCCCAGGACGCGCCCCCGGGCTGTCATTGGTTGCCCGAGGCGCGCCCGCGGCTCCTACTGCGCATGCGCGGCCTCCTGTCAGCCGCGGCCCGCCGGGATCTGGTGCCTGTGTGTCCCGGCGTGAGCCGCCGCTATCGCGCATGCGCCGGGGACGGAGCCGCGGCGGACCCTGACACTTGCTTCCCTGGCTTGTTATTACACGAGCCTCCTTAAGGTGGATCTACATCTAGAGTCTGAGTGACGTTGGACCCATTGGTGAGTCCTGAGGTGGAATGGGAGCGTGATTAATTAACACCTCTGAGAGTCCGCCAAGGCGTCCTGATGACATCATACCGGTGACCAGACCCTGATGTTTTCTACACATTACATACAATGCGCAGTTTGTATGTAGTTCTGGTAAGCACATTATAAAACCATTACTACAAAGGATTTGCTATTGTCTCACCTGACCTGCGGGGCTACTTGGTGGACTTTTATATCACCGTATAGAGCATTTCTAACATATATGAATTTTGGTTTCTGGAGGACTTCTTATCTGGGACTATATTAATCTCTTCTTATTATTCATGATTTTATATAATAACATCTAGCGCTGCATATTTAAATGTTTTAAATCACATGGTAGAGCCTACGTCATCAGCTTTTTATCATGATCGGTGATCTGCTGTGTCTGAGGGACACAGTGCACCACCAATCGTTGTCCTGCATGCGCAGCTAGAGAGGGAGAATGTCATATGAAGTGCTCCAAGAACAAGAGAACTCCCTCCTGTCCGTCATTTCCATATATGGCAGGCAGGAGGCGGTTAATTATTTTGGTCAGATATTCCCAAAAGGTTTATCACTTATCCTAAAGGCATGCAGACCTGCAGACAACAAACAGCTTTTTCTTCAGGGCAGAAACTGATAGGAATCTGCAACAAAGTTTATTAAAATCTCTGCAATGTACATTGATCACCCAGAGAACTTATTCCTCAACAAATGTGAAGTTACCCCTTGAGCCTGGGTTCACACTCTAGCTCGCATGTGAATTGCACAGGAACCACACCGCAATCCTGTGCAATTCACATTCAATTCTGTGCAGTGCAATTTGAGCCAATTCGTTTTGGAGTCTTTTTTGGAGTCACACTGGAACTGGATCACATGGTCATTTTGTACCATGTGATACGGTGCAGGCAAATGCACTACATTTGCGACCTGCATTTGGGGTGGCGTTAAGTTTGAATTGACACCTGCAGCAAATGGCAAAGCACAGTGTAACTACAGTGTGGAGAGCATTTCCAGTACCGCATTGCAGTTGCACTGTATTTTGCATATGTGTGAAAGAGGGGAAAAAAACGTACTGGAACACATAAAAAAACGCACATAAATGTGCATGCAGATAGGCATCCAAAATGCATCTGGGCTGTGTTTCTTTAGTGTGAAACCAGCCCTGAATCTCTGACAACTACGTTATTATGTCACCTTCCGGAAAAGCAAGGGAGAATGTAAACAGCACACCGAGGATCACCAATATGGGTCCAAAAGTTTTAATGAACGATCACATTGTTACAGCAAGGCAACGTTTCAGAGTCTCGCAGGACCCCTTCATCAGGCATGTGGTCACATGCCTGATGAAGGGGTCCTGCGAGACTCCAAAACGTTGCCTTGCTGTAACTAAGTGATCGTTTATTAAAACTTTTGGACCCATATTGGTGATCCTCGGTGTGCTGGTGATATTCTCCCTTGCTGATTCTGTTCGGTTCCAGGTGACGGTCGCTGCAGCACTCACTTATACACACAGCCATTTTTAACACAGGAATGTGTGCGTTTGGATTGTACACTTACCTTCAGGAGAAGGACACTGGGCACAAATAACAAAAGCACATCATAGGGGCAGTCCCTGACATTGTCAGGGTAGCCATCAGAAATTTTGGGGCCCCTTACACAGCTTTAGGCCTCCAGGCATGACCACCAACAATTCCCAGGGCCAGCCCAATCAATGGCTGTCCCACTGGCAGGGCTGCATGGTAGTATTTTAGGAGGTATGGGATCATCAGTCCACCTGGGGCTATAGGAACATAAAGTGTATTACATGTGAATCTTCACCTTCTGGAACCCCAAATAAAATTTAGTATGTGATATTGAAAGCCCTGTAGACCAGTGGACTGGATATTAGTAGGTAATGTCTAGAAGTAATAAAATTCCTTCGGTAGCAAAGTGAACTTTATTGTGGCAATTCTTCCCATTAACAGAAGGGAGTGGACCACATGTCCATTTCATACGACAATACAGTAAAGAGATTGGTACAATTTGTCTTATATAACATTGTGATGTTTGATGTGAGTTTAATCCCCAGGTATGATAAAGAATGAGGTTGCCAGGAGAAGGGAAACTGGATCTTAGGGTCCTTTCACATGGGCGGACCCGTTTAGTGGATCCGCTTGCTCAGTGGGGTATCTCCCCGCTGGGGAAGTGGATGACAGGTCCTTGTCCACTTTGCTGCTGCAGAATGCTCTTCTGAAAGAATGGTCAAACATTCCCATAGACTCACTCCTAAACCTTGTGGACAGCCTTCCCAGAAGAGTTGAAGCTGTTATAGCAGCAAAGGGAGGGCCAACTCAATATTGAACCCTACGGACTAAGACTGGGATCCCATTAAAGTTCATGTGCATGTCTGTAAAGGCAGGCGTCCTAATACTTTTGGCAATATAGTGTACAGGTGCATCTCAATAAATTAAAATATCATCAAAACGTTAATTTATTTCAGTAGTTCAGTTCAAAAAGTGAAACATATATTGTATAGATTCATTACACACAGAGGGATATATTTCAAGCATTTCTTTCTTTTAATTTTGATGATTATAGCTTACAGCTAGTGAAAACCCAAAATCCAGTATCTCAGAAAATTAGAATATTACATAAGACCAACCAAAAAAAAAAAAATTTTTTTTAATATAGAAGTGTTGGCTTACTAAAAAGTATGTCCATGTACAGTATATTATCATAATCATCGAAATTAAAAGAAATAAATGCATCATGAATCTCTATATAACACTTGTGCTTCACTTTTTGAATTGAATTACTGAAATAAAAATAGCTTTTTGGTAATATTCTAGCTTATTGAGATGTACCTGTATGTTTGTCTATGGTGGCATATAATCTATCTCCATGGCTCATTATCCTGGAATAAGCCATGTACGTCTTATTTTTGGAAGTGAGACCGTACTTAGAAAGGATGACCGATCTCCAGCACAACTGCTAAAAGTGGTAATACGGGGTCCAGCACCCTGTAAGCTCAGAGCCTGCCAGCTGCACACAGCTCTGATACACAGGGCCACCGATAAGGGGTTACCTCCGGTCCTCCTGTACGGAGCCCAGGTTCCTGCAGTTCAGCATGGGGCCCATTGGTGGAGAGCAGCTTTTTACTTTAGGGCACGGCAAAGTAATCTCCTGGTTTGCAGAAACAACAAAAAACATCTGTGGACCCCCTTTGTTCAGCTGGCGCCAGGGAAGGAATGGGACTTTTTAATGTTTTTCAGGCACAGGCAGCATAATCCTTGTACTGCAGTCCTGACAATTAAAATCCTGGCCTCTTCCATATCAATCCACTGGGGCATGTAATTGCCAGGAACTTCAGCAAAAAGATTACTCCACCTGTGACCAAAAAACATTAAATACTCCAGACGGAGTAATCCTTGTGCTGTGGTTCACGGCAATTACATGCCCCGGCGGATTGATATGGAAGAGGGGACCGGGACCTTTTTGATATGGAGCAGTGTGATAGTAGCCTATCTTCCAGTGTTTGACAGGGCATTCCATAGGACTGTCTTTCCTTGCTTTTCCTTTATTCACACCAGTCCTGGTACTAACTGATGCTGCTATGATGTTGTAGCAAGCTCTGGTTGACTCTTCCTTTGTCACTTGATGTTGGAATCGAAGTGTGAGTCTGTCTTCCTGTTCTTGACAGGGTGTTCCATGGGACTGTCTTGCCTTACTTTCCATTTAGTTACACCAGTCCTGGTACTATCTGATGCTGCCCTGATATTGTAAGGAGGTTTGATTTTGGATTTGGTCATATTTTGGCAGATTCTCCAGCCACTTGTGGGAAGTGTTTTGTGAAAGTCAAGAGATATGGGGGAAAAACGGCAAGCAAACGTATTAAAACGCAAACCACAGAATCAAAAACGTGACATAAAGCAGGAAAATCTCATATGCGTTTTTGATGCATTTTTTATAAAGCAGTATGAAAGTGAGTAGAGACAGGAAGTGAGAGCCCAAATAAATCCTCCTTTTCCAGCCTTGGTGTGCCAGAGGGTGCGGTGTTGCCAGAACAGTCATTGACATCTAAAATCAGGGGATCCATATAGCAGCGGCTCCTTCGTAGGAACATTGGAATGAATAACAGGGACTGTTTTAAAGTGGATGTTTATGAGAAAAATGATTTAAAGGGCCTTAATCTGGTAAGGTGCATGGAATGATACCATTGAACACCTGCATGGGGTGGAATTTAAGTGGTTAAAGGGATACACACTGTTTTGGTGGGATGGAAATGTGAGTAGTTTGATGTTTATGAATCACTGTGTATAAGCGTTATTAAACTGTATTAGTCTTTTGTCTTTCTGGGGAGCACTTGCACAAGGCACACTAGAGAGGAATGAAATGGAGTGTTTTTAAAGAAATTGTTCATTAAAAGCACAGAATTTTGGAAGTCCGTTAAGGAGCGTGCTGGGCGACACACGCCTGGTG